GTGACTTCACACTGCTGCAGGTACCATCCCATCCCATCATCCTGCCCCCAGTGACCTCACACTGTGCATGTACCGCCCCATCCCATCACCCTGCCCCCAGTGACCTCACACTGCTGTAGGTACCACCCCATCCCATCACCCCGCCCCCAGTGACCTCACACTGCTGCAGGTACCGCCCCATCCCATCACCCCACCCCCAGTGACCCCCTGGTCTTGCATTGACTCTAATTTCCCTCTTCTTGGATCGGAACATCTCTGCCCATCATCGATTCTGACCTTTCTATTGACCCTGGTCCTTGTGTCCTCTCTTCTTTGTAGCTGGGGCGCAAAGCATGGCTCAATGGATATGTCAGGCGCATCCCCTTGCCCCTGCCCCATCAGCGAATGCGTCCAGGCACCGTGTGCAGCGTCGCTGGCTGGGGCCGGACTAGTGCAGACAATAAGGTGACCTCAGGCACGCTCCAGGAGGTGGATGTGGTGGTGATGCAGGATGCTGCGTGTCCGAGAGATCCTGGTGGGATATACCGTAACTATAAAGCCTCCATGATGATGTGTGGGGGGGACCCAGAGAAGGGCAAAAGTTCTTTCCAGGTAAATCTCCTCCTGCCTTCCAGCTCCCTTGACAAATTGTTATTATTTATGAGCCTGTTGGTATTCCAGTCGGGCCGCAGAGCGCAGGTCAGAGATCAGTCCCTGCTGTGCTTGGTGCTGTACAAATGAAATGGGAAGATAGCTGGTCTTCTCCCAGAGGAGGCAGAGACCAGGTGGCTGCCCAGGACAGGAGGGTGTAATACTGAGACTGGCTGTGCTTGAGGGGGGTGCTGCTGAGACCTGTTAATTAGCAGCCTCTTGTTCTGTTTCACAGGGTGACTCTGGAGGGCCCCTGGTGTGCCAGGGAAGAGCCCAGGGCATTGTCTCTTGGGGATCCAAGGATGGGACCCCCCCAGCAGTGTACACAAGAGTCTCCACCTTCATCCCCTGGATACGGGCCACGATGAGGAGGCTGCAGCCCTGAGCTGCGCTGGGAATCACTGCAGGGGCTGGAGCTGCGCCGCTGCTGTCTTCTGGAGAGACCCAGATGTAGCGGCTGCTTTGCAGAGGGGCTGAGTCCCCACAGGCTGATCTTCCCCACCCCAGACATCGCTCCTCTCAGGCAGCGCCCAACCCATGAGCATCAAGGCAGGGAGCCTGGGGGAGTTAGGAGCCATGTTCAATTCCACCTCCCTCAGCTCCCTTGGCAATCCCAACCCAGGCCCTTAGGCTGCGTCTTCGCTAGGGAAACAGCTGGTTTATTTCCCCCGGGGTAACGGACACAGGCCAAACCCTAGGGCAGACCTGGCAGTTTGTAGCTTTCCCCCATGTCAACCAGTTGAGTGACCATTTCTGAGAGATCCTCATCATTACCTGACCTGCTAACTCCTGTTAAAACTGCAGCCTGCCCTGTCCTCACTGGGCCTTTTCCACATGTTATTTCCCCTGGGGTAGCCACCCCCCGTTCCAAAGACACCTATTCCCAGCGCTGACAAGGAGAGTGGGAGTTTGTTCATGGGAAGGGAAATTAGGAAATTATGCATTGAACTGATTTCAGCTGAAATGACAGCTCTGAGCATCTCCTTCTAACCTCCGCTGCCCTGCCCTGCCACGGGGCCTGGTGCATTTCGCTCGCTCCCTCTTACCGAGCAGTGAATAAAAATGAAGTTGCAAAACAATGAAGTGGTGCCTTCCTGGGAATTGAATGAATGCCCCCAGCCTCGGACTCCCAGCTAACTTGTACCTAGAAGGTGTAACCAGGGTTTTGGGCCCTGTGGGGAATTCACCCCCTGGGTTTGAGTAATTCATGACGGATCTGCTAGAAAGACAAGGAAAATCACAAGTGGAAAAGCAAATCACTGTGTGTGTTGTCAGCTCTCCTGACTCTGGTATGCCACCGCTCACACCTAGGCCAGCTCCCTGCCAACAGGAGTGCACTTTAGGCCCACTGGAGGAGAAATCAGTACCAGGGTATTCTTAGATTCCCTTATATGTCATTCCTCTTCTACTCTGCACCTGTCTGGGGACAGAGGGGTCACAAACAGCAGGCAGGCCATTCCCCTCCATCAGGCATCTCAGCCCAGATGTCAAGGCCTGATCCCAAGGAGCCTCTGTGTGTCTCCCCAGCCTGACTGACTCTAATCAAGGGCTATTCAGGCAGGGGCAAATTCCATTGTTGTTTGCAACAGCTCCCCTGCAAATAAAATACATGTCAAATCTAGCCCTGTGCAGGAGGGATCCAGGGACCAGACGTGGCTCTGATGCTCTGGGAAAAGACGTCTCAGACTGGGACACGGCACGATCTGCCGATACCTATTAGTGTCATCTCATTGTTCCCCTGCTTCTTCCCCATTGTCCTGTCTGTAGCCACTTGTTTTCTCCTGGTCTATACCTAGACTGTGAGCAACCGGGGACAGGGGCCATCACTGTGTTTTGTGTTTGTACAGCACCTGGCACAGCGGGGTCCTGGGCTATAGCTGGGAGTCCACCTAGGTGCTACTGTGATACACCTAACAAGTCATGTACAGCGGCAATGGGATCCTTTGCCATGGCTGGGTCTTCTAGGCACTACCATAATACACCTAATAAACACTGTACAGTGCCTAGCACAATGCAGCCCTGGTAACCTGACAGTCCCGGACATGCTCCATGTCTCCGGTTGGATGCCAGAAACCAGAGTCACCCCAGGGTCCCAGCTCAACCTGCCATCAGACCTGCGGGTGTCACAGCGCCGGGCAGAGCGGTCAATGCTGACTGAGCCAGGGCAGGTGCAGGGACCAAGCTGGGGCGGTTGGTGAGCTGGGCCCAGTCACACCCCCGCGGTGAGAATCCAGCCGATGCAGTGTTCTCCATCCCAGCCCCAGGGACGCGGACACCTCCCCAGGTCCGGGACTGAGTCCTGAAGAACGGGCGCTCCACAAAGGATCTAGGTGGGCTTAGAGTGAACAAGCAACACCATGAACTCCCCATGCACCACTGGGGCAAAACTGGCCAGAGCCTGGGCTGTAAAAACAGGGGCATAGGAGCAGAGAAGGGATTTTGCCTCTCTATGCACCATTGGTGAGACTAATACTTGCCCCGGGATTGGGGACAGGCTGGCTCAGGGGAGTGGGGAATGGACTTGGGGCCTTTCCCCTGAGGAGTGGGGAACTAGCTCAGATATAGCCTCATGGCAGGGGACTGGCTGGTTCAGGGGGTGCCGAATGAGATGTGGGATGTTTCCCCTCTAGGGCACCTCTGTGCTGTTGTCACTGTTCCAAGCACAAATTTCTGCCCTTCCCCAGCTCTCCCGTGTACGTGGGCTGTGGGTAACACTGATCGGTATCGGTGCTGGGTGAGAAAACACACCCCTGTCCCCCTGTGTGTGAGATACAGGCAGGTGGCTCTGACCACCCTGATACCAGTGCATTGTGTACGTGATACCCCCATTGAGTTTATCAACCCCCAAGGGGGTTCAGTCCCATCCCCTGTCCATGGGGTCCCTGGCCTGTCAGGGGAGGTGCTGTCCCCCTATGGGGATTAACACACAGAGAACCAGGAGCATCACTGGTCCAGTCATTCCTGCATCCCACCTCCCCAGGGACCACACATGGATGCTCCCAGGCAACCCCCTGCTGGCCCTGAGTCAGGTCGGTGACCCCTACTGTAGCTACCAGTAGGGTACAGACAGAGGGTGGGTCCATCAATGGTAGGGTGGGGAGCTGGATCTAGAATGAATGTACAGGGATATGTATCCATATAGAAGGAATCTACAGGTAGCTATGTGGGTATCGGTAGGTCTAAAATGGAACAGCATCAACTGAAGTGAATCTAGCATGAATTTAAATGGAGTTAGTTGGGTATTCATGCATCTGTATTGATTTTGAATGGATCTGGGGAGGTTCTGGAATGGTTCTAGAGAGTGACACTGATATCTGGATGGACAGATCCCACACCTCATCCATCAGACATACCAATTCCAAGAGAGGCATCCAGAGCCCAATAATGGAATGGTTGAGATTGGATCTACCAACAGGCAGATACTAAAAGATGGAAACAGAGTTAATGCCAGTCAACATGGGTTCATGGAGAACAGATCATGTTCAATGACCATTCTGTCATTTCTGAGCAACATTAAAAGTCTGATTCATTAAGGTGACTGCGCTGATGTGATATATATGTGGATTCCCATAGGAAGTTTGCCCAAATATCACACAACATTCAAATTGAGAAATTATCTCTCTAAAAACTCAACATAGCTCAAAAATGGGCTAACTGACTCTCCTCAAAATATGATCCTCAATGGGGAATCAGCATCCACTGGGGTGTTGCTGGTGGGCCCCGCAAAGATCTGTTCTGGGCCTGAGGTTATTCGGTATCTGTATCATCGATCTCGAAGCTCACATAAAATTGTTGCTGGCAAAGTCTGCAGAGAACACAAGGATAGGTGGGATAGGGGACGCCTCCAAGCTACAGAGCTACCTGGGTCACCTGGTGAGTTGGGTGCAATTAGACCTCCACATAAATCCAGCGAAATGCAAAGTCAAACATTGAGGGACAAGGAATGTTGTTCACACTGGCAGGACGAGAGCTGTGACCTGGAGATCAGGGACTCTGAAAGGGAGCATGGTGGAACCAATCCAAAAAAGAGATTTCAGTGGAATGCAGGAGCTAAGCAGGCAGATACCATCCTTGGGTGTATAAACCAGGGGATATTGAGTAGCGGGAAGGAGTTGGGGTCACCTCTGGATTCGGTCCTTGTGGGACCATGACTGGCAATTTTGTCCAGCTCTAATGTCCACTCCTCTAGCACGACTTTGGCAAATTGGAAAGAGCTACAAGAACAAGCTGGTAGGGAGAGCTCCATGGAGAGTGATCTCCTGAGGGTATTAGAGGTAAAGAGGGGAATTGGCCCACTCTGTAGAAACCTCCATGGCACAGAGGTTTCTGAGAGCAAGGGGCTCTTCAACCTCTCTGGCCAAGGCAGGACAAGATCCGACGGGCGGGAGCTGGAGCCATGGGAACAACTGACCCGCGGCTGTAATGGAGGCAGGAGTTGCTGGGTGGGTTCTGGCTCTGGGGTTTACACCAAGGGGTCAGGTTGGGAGGTCACAATGGTTCCTCCTGACTTTGAAATCTATGGGTCTGGGTATCTCAGTGCAGAGAAGCTCAGGGGTGTTTCTTACACCTGTAGTACGGAATGGTGCAGGGTTAACCACATCACCAGCCAGGCCGAATGGGCACCAGAGCAGGAAGGACCCCCCGCTGCCCCCTGCCCTGATGTGGGCACAGCTGTGGCAGGAGGCTTCTCCAATTGGTGTCTCTACCCCAGGGCCATCTGGGGTGGGAGTTTCTGGGCAGCAGGATACACGTACTGTGGTTTCCAGGCCCTTCCCTCCCCTCCCCCTGCCTGGTCCATATAACCCCCAGAGCTCAAGCAGAGGCTCCGTGCCCATCGCTGGATGTCTCTGACAATGCAGCTCTTGATCTTCATCTTGCTTCCTGTGGCCTTTCTCCTTCCCCCTGGCTCTCAGGCTGGTGAATTTTTTTTTGGGGGGGGGAGGATCAGGGCCCATGGGCAGTGGGACCCTCACCCCATATGGGGAGCTGTGGGCAGCATTTAGGGTCTCCCCTTTGCACCTGCTGAGGCCAAGGACCTGTATCGACCCCTGCATCCTCTCCTGAGTGTGGCTGGGGCTCTCACAACAGCACAAGGGGTTGGGTGGCCAAGCCCCCACAGGCTCCTTTGGGACCCCACTGCCAATCAGTATCCTAGACAGGGAGGTCAGCCATGGGGCTAGGCCACTGGGCTGGGACCCAAGAAATCTGGGACCACTTCCCAGATCTGCCCAGGATCTCTGTGGACAGGGATTTGTATGGATTGAGGATGGTCACTGAAATCCCTTAGACAGGTTTACAAACAATCTCCCTGGGCCTCAGTTTCCCTATCTGTACAATGTGAAGAACAATTCAGCTTGTGTCTGGACGCTGCCTTGGTCAGTGAAA